TATAAGGTAATAATTAAGGGAGGGCAGCAAATCTGCCTCTACCAAATACAAATTTGAGGTGCTTTTTTGGGTGTGGCAATGTTCCTTCCTTCATGACTCCTCCCCCTGAAAGGTTTTTTAGTGAAGTGCCCCTCCCACCTCAAGGCCAAAGGAACAATCTGGGTCCAGCCTCACGCCCAACCTGATTCTCCTCCCTCACCTACTTCACCTTTTTGCCTGCATTTCCTTCCTCTTCCGTGACACAGATGGAGCCGGAATGCGTTTTCTCCCTATCCATGCAGCTTTCTAAAATGGCTGTTTCTTTTCTTTTTCTAACCTACCAGACGATAAACAGGAGAAGAAACGCCTGGCAATACCTGCGGCATCCTCAGTAGAAACATATCAACAAAGAAAAAACAGAGAATTGAAAATTCAACTGGGCAGGAATGGATGTCACATAAAAGAACTCACGTAGGGGAGAAACCAAAAAAATGCATGTCACCTGAGTACATGTCAAATAACTCATACAGAGGAGAAACTGTAAGTATGGAATGTGAAAAGACCTTCAGCCACAGCAGTAATCCGAGTTCACATCAAAGAACTCACACTGGGGAGAAGCCATATAAATGCATTGAATGTGGGAAGACCTTCAGTCAACGCAATAGCCTGAGGTCACATCAAAGCACTCACACCGGGGAGAAACCATTTAAATGCATGGAATGTGGAAACAGCTTCAGTAAACGCAGTCATCTTATTTCACATCAAAGAACTCACACCGGGGAAAAACCTTATAAATGCATGAGATGTGGAAAGAGTTTCACTGACAGCAGTGCCCTGAGTAGACATCAAAGAACTCACACTGGGGAGAAGCCATATAAATGCATTGAATGTGGGAAGACCTTCAGTCAACGCAATAGCCTGAGGTCACATCAAAGCACTCACACCGGGGAGAAACCATTTAAATGCATGGAATGTGGAAACAGCTTCAGTAAACGCAGTAACCTGAGCTCACATCAAAGCACTCACACCGGGGAGAAACCATTTAAATGCATGGAATGTGGAAACAGCTTCAGTAAACGCAGTAACCTGAGCTCACATCAAAGCACTCACACCGGGGAGAAACCATTTAAATGCATGGAATGTGGAAACAGCTTCAGTAAACGCAGTCATCTTATTTCACATCAAAGAACTCACACCGGGGAAAAACCTTATAAATGCATGAGATGTGGAAAGAGTTTCACTGACAGCAGTG